TCTTAGATAGCAGACCCAATTACGTCACTAAATTAATAATCCCAGCCCAACGTAGGGCTTTTATGCTGGCCCGGTTGAATGTTTTTCCCTCAGCATTTGTCTGGGGAAGATATCAAAACATCCCTAGAAACAAGAGATTCTGCAGATGCTCTATGAATGTCCCGGACACTGTAGAGCATATTCTCTTTCATTGTCCATTGTACAGTACGCTCCGTCAACGCGTGCTGTCCCCTCTTTTGGGTGGTCTGGAACCCCAGCAAGGTGAATGTGTGGGATTCTGCCTATCCGACGTTGACCAAAGGGTAACGGCGGGGGTAGCCGAGTTTTTGGTAGCAGTCCTCCAAGGAGCAGGTTAACAAGGAAAACCACTGATTCTATATGCATATATATATATATGTATGTAGCCAACTGCTGCCTTTTTATATATATTTCAAGGCTTTTACATGTTATTTTCTCTTTTATGGTTTTATTTGCATAATGCCTAATAAAGGTTTGATTTCAATCAATCAAACTTGCATTCTTGTACTTTTGGTGTTGCTGTTGCACAGGATATCACCTAATAAAAATGATCTAAGCACTGGCCATTTTAGCTGGACTCCTGCTTCTTCTGTTCTATCTTCCACCACACTACTAGCTGAAAGCAGTGTGTGTGTGTGTTTAAAACCATGCCTTGGATTCTCTAAAATTTTGAAATTGCAAGAATTTGTGTTTTATAATCCAGTAACTGTTGAAATGGCACAAATCCCCTTTAATTGAATAAATTTGCTGAAAAGCTTCATTGATGTAATGGTTTTATAAGTCATTTAACTAGAAAAGATTTTGCTCTTTAAGCCAGCTGTAACTTGCCCTGAGCATTGTATGAATTCTTCAGCGGAACAGATAGCTTTTTTATTTGGTTGAACGTGATGTTCAGTAGTTTTGTTTATCAATGTAGAAAAACATGTCTCAACACAGTCGGTACTGTACTTCTGTCTTCATGAAAACCATCCTTCTGTCTACCATACTAATAATCCCGATAGATTGAAATTTACCAAACTGTAGTCCTAAAATTCATATCTAACTGAAACTGAAATACTTTTTGACGCCTCCAAAACTTGGAAGCTGAAGTAATATATTATGCATGTGTGTGTCTGGATATATAAAATAAACATTCTATTGCTTATGGTTGAGGTTTTTATGTAATCACGTAGATAAAACCATCAAGAAGGGTGACATTCTAATTAACCCTAGGTTTTGGGATAGCTCCAAGTTTGCAGTTTTCTTTCAGCCTAGTTGCACCAGGTGCCTAACAGAGGCTCCGAGTCTGGGCAGAACCAAATGTTACAAGGAACAATGAGCAGCCTTTCTTTAATGTCATGTTTTAAGACTTAGCCCTTTCCTGGACAGGAGCCTGCCCCATTCCTTGCATGGAGAAGCTCTGGCAAAGTGGCATTAGTTTGTTGGTAACATTAGATCTGAAATACAGTGAAACATTTGGCTGGCAAAACAAATCCAAGATCCAAGCTACATGAGCCATGGAAGATCTGCGATAAGCTCTCGCAATGTCCTTAATTTTCCGTAAAATATCAGCCATGGGGCATATTAATTAGAGCACTGGTTTGGGTATCTACCCATTCATTTTTCAGTTTACATCATGGCTGCCATTGCTCTAGGCACTATTAACTGTGGCAAATTAATGACATATACAATATGGGCAATTTAAATAGGGGAAGCAGCCTAAGGAAAATGGGTTATTTCTCCCTCAACTTGGCTTCTGGGGAGCAGCAGCAGCAGGAAAGGGCTATCTTCATGCTTCACTTATGGACCGCCTCTTTTAGACACTGTGTAGAGTTGCTATATGTCCTCTTTTTCCAGGATAGACACCCTCTTTTTCATGGGTAGAGTTGGCATAGCGATCCATACTTAAAAGTAGACGTTGGCAAATGTGCCCTCTTTTTTGCTGTTCAAAATATGGCAACCCTACCTACAGGAAACAGAATACTAAACTAGCTGGACCTTTGGTCTGATCTGGAAGGGCCATCCTTGTTTTCCAAACTATGCGTAAGAAATATGTTCTTCTAATGTGAAGGCTTTTAAAGAGAAGATTTGCAAAGGCTTTTCCTGCTTTATGTACTCCTTGTTGGAGCAAAAAAGTTTCTAAAAAAAATGTATTTCGGAAGAATTAGGAATGAAATTATGCATGATCGTGTTCACATACTATTTTGAAAGTATTCAGGCATGCGCTCGCTCTCTCTCTCTCTCTCTCTCTCTCTCACACACACACACACACACACAAAATATGCTCTCTAGGTGAATTTTAATAACTAGCTGCTTGTTAATTGTGCTATTTTAATGGTAAAATCTCACCACCACAGAATAGCAGGACTGATAACTGATCAGCTCCACATCTGGTTAAAGCAGATTTCTGCTTTGTCTTTTCTATCTTGCTATGGAGCTAATACATTGACTTAACCAAAGAGCAAGGAGAACACAGGTTTTTCTAATGCTATTGTTCGCTCTCTTGTATAAATGGCATGATATTCATTAATGAGACCCTTTGAAGTTACCTCTAAAGGTGTCCTGGGGAGTCAATTTTCAAGGAATTCCTAATGGAAACCGCAGATATCTGAGAATGAGGCCCACATCACCTTAACAAGGCCTGCATGAATCATTTAGAGGAGGAGGTGACATGACACATTGCAGTGTTTTTCCTTGTTAAAGCTATTGGCACCAAGCGACAGGCACCTATGCAGGGCAACAATAGAAGCAATCTGGTCTGCCACAGTCAGCCTGTGACACCAGATTTCTTAAGACGTTCCCTGCTGATATTGGTTAGTTTAATCCCTAAAGATTTATAAAAGTGTCCTAGAGACCTAGAAAATGGAGGCGACAGCAGGCTGAAGCAATACATTTGCCCCTGACATATGTCTTACAGACAACCCCTTAGTTACTAACCCATCTGCTAAACTTCCTAACATTTGTCATTGTCTTGCACTGGAAATCAGAGCTCCACACGGATATCTTCCTCCCACCCCACAACTGAGCTGAACTATATTTAAGATTTGTTTCAGGGTGTTGTCCGAACGGGGGATGCGGTTAAGCTGTCTCCTTAACCACAATCTGTAACACAATCTGCACTGAGCTACAAAGTAGGAGGACTGGGGAGGAGTCACCCAGCAGTGACCCTCTTCCCATGAGCCAGTGCACTTACGCTAAGCCGTGAATTACCTTAACATTCAATGGGAACATGGGCATTCATTCTATTTGTAGTTGTCCTGTTTTTATTGTGGTTTTATTTCTTAGATTATTTATTTTATCATTTGTGTTTTTGCTGTCCAGAGCTCCTTTGGAAAGAAAGGTGGGACATCAATTTAATAATCAATGAGCAAAAACATTTATTGTCTTCAGGCACTTTTTCAACTGAAATTTCCAGGCAGGATTTAAAAAAAAAAAAAAAGGACACAGATTTAGGCATGGAGGATGAGTTGTTGGGTACAATCCTGCTGATGGTTATCTACACTGGCTGCATGGGAAGCAGGTACATTTCCAAGCACAATTTAAAGCAGAGGTTACTATCCTGTTTTGAACCAGGTTTTCTAAAGGAATGCTTGCAAATGTACAAGTCTTCCTGGGCTTTAAGATCAGCCATAGGTGTAATTACATTCCCATTCCCCCCTCCCAAAATCTTCTCCAGAAGGTGCCCCAACCCACCCCTAAAGCTGATTTTGAGGGCACTTAGGGATCAGAGGTGGGGAAAATTCCATTAGCAGAATTCTGGGCAGAATGAGAGCACTGGATACCACCTTGTGGACCAAACCTTCCAGTGTTGAACAGATTAAGTCTGAAGGGGGCTCCTGTGCATGTTTGCTTGAATGCAAGAAGCCTCCAAGTGATTGGGGAACCTGCTTTATCAAGGCTCCTGATCACAAAAAGTTCTTCTATTATTATTCTGCCCATGTTCAAGTGAATGTGGGAAGATAGCTCCCTTTGCATAAGAAAGTCAAGGTGGGGTGGGTGTGAGGGGATGCTGGGGACAGCAACCCATGTCTCCTACCTGGGTTGATAATTCTACAGCCCTGTTCAGAGAAACAGTCTGTGTTGACACCATCAGTACTTTTCTGCACTTAGTTTCCTTTCTAACTTCCTGGTTTACAATTCCTTCACCCCAAATGCAAATGAAAACATATGCCATAAATAAATGTGTTAGCCTTTAAGATGCCAGAATACTTTTTCGTTGCTGGAGGACACTAACATGGGCAACTCTCCAGGAATATAAAGGTTAAGTCCAGTCAAAGGCGACTATGGGGTTGCGGAGCTCATCTTGCTTTCACTCCAGGGGAGCTGGCGTTTGTCCGCAGACAGCTTTCCAGGTCATGTGGCCAGCATGACTAAACTGCTTCTGGCGCAACGGGACATCATGACGGTAACCAGAGTGTGCGGAAACAGCATTTACCTTCCCTCCACAGTGGCACCTATTTATCTACTTGCACTGGTATGCTTTCGAACTGCTAAGTTGGCAGGGGCTGGGATAGAACAATGGGAGCTTACCCTGATGAGGGGATTCGAACCGCCAACCTTCTGATTGGCAAGCCCAAGAGGCTCAATGGTTTAGACCACAGCGAATGCCTTGTGTTGGAAATCATGACATCAGAAAATGCAGGGCTGGTGTAGGCTACAGTTGAACTTACTACATCCATCACATTATTAATGCAACTGAAACACACACTGCAAAGAGAAACAGAAGACCTACTGCTTAAAATGAACTGAAATGACTTGCTTACTTCATGACTACTCTTTTGATTTTCTTACAAAATTGCTTTTATCCATTTTTCAGGTTTATGATTGAGAAGCTAAGTACAAATACTCAAAATTCCCAGACAAATTATGCCACCCATTTGCATCACTGATCATCAAACTTGTATTAGTTAATTTTTCAAAGTATGAATATTACAAACCTTGAAGTGGATTTTAAATCCTTGCTGCACTGAATGTTTTAGAATGACCAGACAAATGGCTGTGGCTATGGAGTGCACAGTAGCATTTTATTGATGTCTGACATGCAACAATAACTGGAGTGAATCTCTAAAATTAAGATTACAAATTTTGATCAAATAAAACATGTTCAAGTTTACAAAAGCAATCAAAATGATAGTTCATGCATTTCATCATTCTATATATACAGGTGTCACATAAGATGTGACTTTTAATTTTGGAAGGGGAAAATGCGTACAAATGATTAGTCATTGCACAAAAACAAAGGAACCCTCTTTTATCCAAGACATGCGCATATCTTTTGTATAGTTGTTGTAAGTCTCTAGTACAGCTTCTTATTGTACTAAATACAGTTGCAATCAATTCAGAACAGAATGTGCTGTATTTGCTGCAGATTCCCGGAACATAGAAATGCTCTTCAGACATTACTCATGTGAAAAGGGACATATACAAATGGGTTGTGGTATGCGCATGTGGTCCCACCCCATTGCTGCACTACTTGTGGCTGCGCACAAATTTATCTGTACTGTAAGCACTGGAAGAGCAGTTTGTAAAGTCACACAAGGAGCCGCCATGAATAAAGAAGGTTCTCTGCTGCAGATGTCACAGCTGAGCTCCCGATAGCAGGTAACAACTGAAGAGGCCTATATTCTACAGGACTATGTGATGGCCAACAATGCTGCTGGCAGAGGTACCTTAATTGATAGATATCAATCTGAGAATCTTCACCAAAGAAGTCAATCGGTTAAAGTGCTGTATCTGTTGCATAATACTGCTGGTAATGGTACCTAGATTTAGAGTCAATTTGGACACGCATAAATAGGGATGTCAGAATGCAGGTCATACTGCTGCACAACCTGCTTCTCCTGCTCAGCCCTTAGAACGCCTGGGAGAAAAATATTTTAACAGAACCCACAACAGACTTGTTCATCTATCGGTGCTGTAATCCTTCATTAGTTGCTTGGGAGCAAAGAATTTCGACACACAACAAACATACATACATTTTCAATTCTTCCACTTCTACAGCTTTTAAGGACACACAGAGCTCAGCTTGTGGAGAAACCCTTAGCCTAAGTTACATTTTTTAAAAATATATAGTTGTAAATAATGTTCCACTGCAGCAGTAAATATATTTTAAGACATACGTTTCCTTTTTAACTGAGCGAAGAGCTTGGGGTGGGAGGTGGGAATAACGGTTCGTTAAAATGCTCAGTTGAGGATATGACCCCATTCACAAAGCGCTCAAATACAAGGCAAGGTTTTAACAGCTGGAACATTACAACTAGCCCTTGATTTACAGCAAACAACAATAGATGTAGCTAAGCATAATCTATGAATAAGTCTACATTCATTGGAAAGTGGCAATCAAGCTCAACATAAACATTTAAAATACAGCAGTGAAAAGTAATATAACACTAAACATTCTTTCTGGTAGTAACTTTTCACTTGATAGCTACAACCCTAAGAATGGCCTTCATATACTTTACAAGAAATGCTAGCCATTCTGCTCTTAGGCAGTGCAATTTGAAAAGGAATAAAGTACGATTGCCAAAAAGCCCTTCATGCTAATTTTTCACAAGACAGAGAATAGAAGGATGAGTAAAATGTGGGCATTCCCAATACTGTCCATCTTGGTGATGAACTGTACATGGCATGAAAGGGTGGGTTTTGAAGCTCCTAAAACAACTCAGCAGAAATTGCTTAATGCTACAGGTAAATAAAAAAATATTGGGGGGCAGTGTTTTATTATAAAATGAATATTGTATATAGTTTAAATAGAAACATAGAATCTGAAGGCATACAAATACTGGAGTGTGCTCTCACCAAAGTTATTCTCAGGCCAGAGTTGCCTTGTGAATTGCCGAGGTGGTACAGGAACAACCACCCTCCTTTCATAAGCAGCCTCTCCTAATTTCTGCTTATAGCTGAACCTTGGTCATTGCTCCTAGAAGCATATATTTGTACAGGACAATCCTGTGCCTACCCTATGATTTCTGTGACAGTGTAGCTCAGAATTGCTCAGAGAATATGGATCAGTATTCAAAGTTATATTTCCAGTAGTCACTTTTTGTCACAAATTATGAAGAGGTTTTGTTGCTTATAAACACTGTATTTTTCTGTTTTAACTATAATAATTTTACGAATGTATTTGCCATTGTTTCTGATATTTGCACTTAAATATTGGAAATACAAAGGTAATTGAATTCACTTATAGTTCAGATTGAAAGCACACGACAACCCTTCACAAAATGTTAACTAAAGTTCTTGTTAACTCTGTGTATGAGAAAAGCTCTATAGTCAAACAGTTTGATCTTTCACATTAAGATGCTAACAGAAGTAATTCAAAAGGTGATTGAAAATAAAAGAGTTAATAATTAACATGAGTTCAGAATTCTGTGGTTTATACTCTTCTGTTGTAGCTGAGGAATGCTCATTGAAGACACATAATGAACTTGCATATAATGGAAGTTCAAGTTAAACATCAGCGGCCCTGTAATTTCCAGTATCATGGATGGTAGTCATTAAGTATGGTACTTTGGATCTGCAAGCTTTAAGTGAGCAATGGAATTTTAAAATACATTCTGGTATAAATGATGATGGTAAAGCATCTGTTTCAAACACAGTAGTTAACCTTAAAACACAAAAATAGCTTAGAATATGTATCCTTTGGTATTCATCTAAAGTGAAAGTACACAGACTTACAGAAAAAGATCTTCATGTTCTTCTAAGACACAGTACCAACATTTAGAGTTACTCATGTATTAGGAATGACAAAATTGCTATAGGAAAGTGGAAATGAATTTGTCCATGGCACAATATTCTGCTTAATGTGGCTGAGGATATTCAATAATAGAAACACTCCCCTTTCCATCATATTCTGATGACAGCTCTGCCCTATTATTTTAGTTAAAAGAATGTTTTGATTAAGGAAAGGTTCTTGACCTGGTAACAACAAAAAAATAGAGCTATTTCAATTAGTATTCTTTATCAGTCTAAAAGGAGGGGGAAACCCTCTTTAGGTCTATATTTGAGAAATGTAGATTACAAGCAAGAAAAATGAAAATCTCAAAAGAAAAAGAAACCTTCTTAACACTTCATGTACCTTATGTTTAAACCTATATTTCACTTCATGTTAGCAAACATTCTGTTTAAGGTTTTGTATAAAGCAAATTAAAACAATGCAAAGTTTTTATTACTTGTATAGCAAACTATCTTTCTCTTCATGGCAGTGCTTCCCATTAGAATCGCATTTTGCTACTTTGCAACAGGCACACAACACTATACACAAATGTCACCTAGTCAAGAGACATGCTTAACCAAATACATCTGTCACTCTTAAGTGAAGGTCAATATTTGATTTGGACACAGAATATAGTACTTAAGAAAAGAACAACAACTCCCCATTTTAAAAAGCACTCTCCTAGATTGGGAAACACAAGCGAGCACACAATTTCCATTCCCCAAATTTGGCAAAAGCCAAGGAAATATGTAAATGCTGATGTGTCCATCAGCATTATCTCCCATAATTCATATAAACTTTCAGAAAATGAGGTATTCATTCATCACTTTCCTATGCTTTCTTTACTTAATGCATATTTGCATGCCATGTCCTCATATTTAGTATCCATACCAATTTTAATAAATTGCTACTTGCCATTTCAAAAGCCCCTGACTCTTATTGGGCACAAATGCTTCAAATACATTCCATTCAGGAACCATTGCTGTCAGCATCCTTATGTAAAAACACATGACACTTCCTCACTGATAATCCTCTACTGGTGATTCCTAGTCATAAAATGCTAACAATAAAATCTCACATCTTCAGATTTTCCTTCGTGTTTAGAGCTGCAAAACACATCCCGCTTGTGCGCATACACATAGACAGCATGCTGTAACATCAAAGAGACTGACTGAAGTGCAAAATAAATATTCAAGTATGTGTCTGGGATTGTGTAGCTCATAGTGGTATACAAGTTACTACAAAATTTAAAAGCAAAACAAAAGACGTCTGCATGTAAATGTTAAGAGGAATGTTTCATAGCAAATGGAATTTAAATTTTACTTTTCCAAAAAGCGTTATGCAGCTCGTGTGTGGGTTGCCAGTTTTGACAATACTAATCAGTATTTGGAGTAAAACTCTCTCAGGATGTAAAGAGTTAAAAAGGGAAGCGAAGATATCAAAACACTGAAATAAGCAGTCCACCTTATTGAAGAAATACCATCGGGTGTTGGCACTGGCTTAGCTTTTTGAAAATTTGCCAGCTCGCCGAGAAGGTTCATATGGCACTCGGAGAATACTAGGAGTTTCTTCCATTACTCGCACAAGAAGATTGTCAATATAGTCCTCAAGTTCACGAATATGGGTGTCCTTCTTCTTCAGTTGTTCTTTATGTTTCACTAATTCTTGTAAGACCTCTTCATGTGTAAGGTTACGATACCCTGCAGCAGCATCAAAAGGATTTGCATCCTAGAATAAAGAGAGGTGGGTTTTTTTGAGGGGGGACATTACAGAACTTCAAACATCACATTAATACCAGTACTAGTACTAGTACTAGAAGAGAGGATGCGAATCGGAAACCACATATAGCAACTCCTTCCCCCTTTGACATAGTATCTGACTAGCACAATAACAGCCTATTTACATAAAGAGGAACAGAGAAAAGCAGCTGTGGTACCTTGAACAAGCTGTTTATCTGGTTCAGCTAAAGCATAGCTAGATGATTCATCAAGTCTATGTATACCTTGTAAAGGCATTTTTACAATGCTCAAAATTCATGCTGGCTTAAAAGTGTAATTTGCCAAATTCTTTAAAAATGTGAAAAGTATAGTCAAATCTTGTCTAACCTAACTCTGCCACCCAGTCATTAAATACTGGGCTGTAATACATCAGGCACTGATGCTGTGTAACTCTCATCTTCATGGAACATGAGGATAACACCCAGTGGGCCACAAACTTCATGAATTAGTGAGCAGTTTGCTGTAACAGAATCCCAGATTCTTAATACCTTACGAATCATTATACAAAGAAATGTTGAAAGAGCACCAGAATATAGGAATACTGTCTCACTAAAGTACATATCCTTTGCACCAAATGGACTGATGTGGACTAAGGACTTGATTCTTAGGCTACACCTACCATGTGGAGCCACTGGAAATATTTCTACTGGGTGGTCAGATCATCTGAGAATATTCACTACAGGGATCTCCCACTGTGTGTAGTACAAGCTTTATTTACATGGTACTTTGTAACCCATGCTAGCATGAAAACTACATGTAAGTTATTTCAAGTGTTTGCCCAGTGTATTTCTGTGTGGTTTAATTGGAATAGGCTCTGACAGCCAGGACAACAACTGACAACACCACCTGTGCCAGCACCCCCTGTGCTGTTTTTCAGTCAGTTCGCCATTACACAGGAAAACATGGGTTGAACCACCGGTTGACAATTCTCCTTTTTCTAACATTATATAATGAAGTCGGTCTCAAACAAGATCATTTCTGATTTGTGAGCATTTGCTTACATATAGTCTAATTCATTAAGCAATCACAGTCCCAGGAGAATATTGCAACCATCAGAATGATTTTGCTGATTAATTCTGGCAGCACTTCAGTAAGAAAGGAAAGAGAAGTTGCAGCAAAATATAAATACTGAGGAGTTTATAGTACACCAACTTTTCAAGCTCTCACTGTTGGTCTGTAGCAAAAGCAGGAGCAGATTGTAATTGAGATCTAAGGGAAACAGGCCTCCATCTGGGACCCACAGTACAGCATTATTAAGTGAACATTTCTCTGGAACATTTCCCACTTTCCTGGCAGAAGATGCTGCAAGGGAACCAGTCTATATTTGAAAAGAATCCAAAACGATTAAAATGGATAATAGATGTGGTTCAAAAACATTTCTTGGTTGCGTCCCAACAGTGAGATAATTCTTTTGCACTCTTGCTTTTTAATGAATCCAGGCTCTATTTTAAGACTTGTCTGCATCTATCACTTTCTATATTTAAATAGCAAGTTATGGATAATTCACATATGCACATACCACTGACTGCTCAAAAACCTGTGGCTCAATGAGTGAACTGCCTCCTTTGAGAAGTATTGTATTCGTGGTTATGTCTGGTACGTTGATTTGTCTGCGATGACCATTTCACAAGTGCAAGTCATCATTTGAAGTTGCAAGTCATCAAATCACAAATATGTATAAAAATACTGCTGCCTTTTGAAAGCAGTTATATTAGTATCAGGAACACAAAATAGGGTTTTTTATTTAAAAGTATAACAGCCAGACTCATCAGCACTGTCAGACAAACAGAACTGGACAACGGTTCTGCAAAATTTTGCCAGATTCCGTAGTTGCATCCCAAGCACTTTGGCAGATGGATGGCCAATGAAGAACTGACAACTGAAAAATCCCTGTTTAGCTGAAAGCTTGCTGAACCTTCTGAGTCCCAGCTAACCCCAATATCTCACCCCAATATATTTATCTATTGGCCTCTTTAAATCTGACCCCTTGCCCTAATCCTATGTGTGGAAAGGAGAGAAAACACATTCCTCTGTGCTCCATTTTTCCTTTCTTTTGGTAGCTCCTCTCTGCCACTTTACATGCCAAGCCTCGTCTACCATGGGAATGTGGAGAACGGAATTGTGTAAACCAAGGCATATCCAAAAACTACTGTTTGAACTGCCTTTCTTTCACAACTCAACCTTTAGGAATGCAGCCAAGGATTTATGTAGCTTCTTAAGCCTTGTTTGTCTAATTACCCATTCTAGTCCTCCTGTGTCTGTGATACAAAAATCAGAGCACTTGGATTTAAGCAGATTTCAATGGGACTAAATAGTTTATGGATCAGGCTGCTTATGTTCTTTTTCCAGACTGCTTAATGTGTGTTGCAACGTTTGAACAAAGTAAGAAATATACTACAATTATGAGACAGCAGTTAGCTGGAAAGGAAGACCTATTAAAACTGACCTACGGGGCTGCTGATGTTGCATACAGAATTTTGAGCTAGCCTACTAAATAAAATTAGAAACTCACAACACTGATGGGCAAATTTAATTGATTTACAGTCCAATCCTATACATGTCTAATGGGAAGGATTCTCCTCTGAGTTCAGTAACTTACTCCCAGGTAAGCATGTAGTGAAGCTGTGGGTGGGTGGAATTTTTTTAGGGGGAAATTGAAATATATGCAGTGCTTGTATCCCTATCAAATCTATATGTTTCACACTATGATGACACACATAATTCATAACCCAACATATACAATTGTACAATCTGATAAATTTATTATATTTTCAGTGCGATTCTATGGATGTTTATTCAGACTCACTCAGTTTAGTGGGGCTTAGCACTGCAGCCTTAGAAGTAAGCATAATGAAATGTCAGAGGCTGTGCTAAAAATTGTGGGGGCGGATCCCTGGAAAAAGCAAACATTCTCTCCACCCCAAATTTCCCCAGACCTTGATAATAACTTGGATAATAGCGCAGAATGGAAGTATTTTTAAAAATATAAAATTAGTGTGTAAAATATAGCTGATTAGAAAAGGCAAGCTAGTGAGCCAGTATAAATGTTACAAGTTAAAACATCAGTCAACTGTTAAATTTTTGAGCTCTTGATAATAACTGTAAGCAGAAGAATTTTTGACTGGTTTACACTTCAGCCAACTTTCCTTTATCAATTACCACAATTAAGAATATTTGCATCTTGAGGTAATATTTTTGTAATGTGTTTAAGAGAAACTTACAATGTGGTAAGTTTTTGTCTTAAGGATTTGAATTCAAAGCCAATTCAGTATATTCATGCATAGTTATTTTATCTCTGCATTACAAATGAAGGGTTTGGATAATCAAAAATGTTTGTGTGTATGTACACAAACTAAAACGAAAGCCATGTTTGTAAACAAAAGTAAGAATATCTGACATACTTCTAACCTACAAAAAAGCTAGTAGCAGTCATATAGTTTTTAATTATATAATATATCCCAGATGGTTCTGTGTGATGTATCTTTAAGATGTTCATTTATAAAACAGGCCATATGATTATTTGAAGTAAAATGGTCATATGCATATAAGTGCCATAGCTATTGAAAACTACAATTTTAGTACTTCAAGTAAAATGAAAACATGTGTTCAACAACGGAGGACAAATCTTGCTAGAAAATAAATATTCTGCTGTAACTTCCTAAACAACAACAACAAAGAATCCCACAGACTATGATACCTATCATTCAGGAAAGAGCAGGGAAAAGGGTAAGATTTCAAATGTGTAAACATGTAGAGAAAGCCTTGATAACCAAATATTATTTGGGTACAAACTGATAGTCACAACTGCTGGGAAACGGAGAGATAAAATGACAACTTGGCATACTTTGATCATCTGTTTATTGTTCTAATGAGGAACTTTGCTTTGGGAATATCATCTAAACCACTTTCTCATCTCTTGTCCTACTTACTTCATCTCCCTTTCAGTTCCTAATTAGGCTTTAAAGAGCTCTTGCTGCCCTTTCAACTGGCTATTGCTCCTGTTTAAACACTGTTCATTCACAGACAGGTGTTGGCATCACCAGAGCACAAGGCATATAAACTTAATTACCAAACACCACTTCCAAGGGAATAAAAGAAATAATTTATTGGAGGGAACGTCATTTAAATTACTTCAAACTACTTACAGAATAATCTTACAACATTTGAATTTTTACAATAGTTGTGTTTCAAACTTACTATATAAAAACATGCTCTAACTGTATTTTGCCCAAAATGAACCGGGCATCAGCATTGCAAGGTTAGCTCATTCCTAGAGAGGAATAAGTCCAAAACTGGATTATTTTTATCACCTTTAATTTCTCTAAGGAAAACTAATTGCTTTCTTTAAAAAAATTCGTTCGCTAGCAATTTATTGCATAATGTTGGCTGTTATCATTAAAATACATAGAAGCCAATTAAGCATTTTCCAGACAATATACTGAAAACCATCTCTAAGGCTGCAATCCTACACACACCTACTGGCAGTTAAGTGTAAGCCACAAATGAATTCAGTGAGTGATATTAGTCATACTCAGAGTAGACCCATTTTAAATAATTGATTTCAATGGGTATACATTGTATGTGACTAATGTTGGATATTAAATATATATATATGTGTGTAAGATATGCCTATGGACTTAAGTTATGACTAAATTTCACTAGAATGCACCCCAAAACAAGTTAAAACATTTTTAATAAAAATATTACCTAACATAGAATAGGCTTGAGCACTAGTATATTTCTAAAGCAATGGGAAGGTTTTTGTTTTGTTTTATTTTTATTCTCACCACATTAGCTATTCTTCTGAATTTTCAGGGTCAGCTGAATATTCCAAACAAAAACAGATTACACTTTGTGAGCATTTTTAATCATCATGAGAGTTCATTTGTTATTTGTATTAGCAATCTTGATATATTTACTCATCAACTTAGCACACTCACTTTGTTAAATCCTCCTAAAACATCTCATAAAGATTCATAGGATTTGGAATTGTGAAAGACTAGTTGAGTTCATTGTCTTCCAGTAAATCTGTTCCTTAAGAGTGTGTATTCCACTGAGCAGACTGAATAAAGACTGAATAAAGACTATTGCTGCAGCTAATTTATTAACCATAACGCCATTATGGTACTGCATGCTGACTGCTCTGGTTGTCTCAGTTAACATGACTAAGAGACTGGAACAACTTCCCTGCAAGGAAAAGCTGAAGAAGAGATGAGGCTGTCCATGCTAGAAAAGGGAACAGCTAGATGTGGGAGGGACATGGTAACTGCTCTTAAAATTATGGATAAAGGATTTTATTTTTCTTTCATGTAAGGAATGCTCACCTGCTAAGAGGGGAAGTGGGGTAATGTTGGTGAGCACACCAGCAAACCAGTCAAACGCACTGCCAGCTGCGTGTTAAGCAAGTATGAGAAGAATCCCTACATGAATTCCAAAAGACATGTGTACAACTCCTCTACATAAAGCTGGATCCTAGGTCAGTCATGATTCCACCCTCCACTTCACATGAGGAGGAGCTCTACACATGTATATCAGAATAAAAGGAGAGCACATTCTTACAACAGGTGGTGGTGGTGGTGGTGGTGGTGTGTGTGTGTGTGTGTGTGTGTGTGTAGCCGGTGCAGCAAATCGATGCTCCATTTGCTAGAACTCTTCATAACAACCACAGAACTAAAGATCACCACATTACATTGATTGGCAGCCAGTTTAGGACAGACAAAAACATTTATATAATATAAATAAATATGCCATTATCATAATCTACTTATGTAGATCTATGGTGGGTCGCACTTGAAAACTGTCTTCAGTTCTAGCAGCTGCATTAAAAAAAAAGATGTAGAGTTGGAAAGCTTGTATGGAGCAAGACAAACCAAGAGACAGTATGCCTTTGAATGCCAGTTGCTGGGACGCATGAACAGGAGTGCGCTGTTGCGCTAATGTCCTTTTTCTGGGCTTCTTATAGGCATCTGATTTGCTACTGGGAGAACAGAATGCTGGACTTTGATGACTCAGCAGGGTTATGTTCTTATATAATTAACTGAAACTTACTACCACACTAGCTTTGATGGTGGTTGCTAAATCGAGTCCACATGTTCAGAGGCAGTAGACCCGCAAATATCAGGTGTTGGGATGAACAACAATGAAAGACTGCCTTGCTTATGAGTTTCTTAGAAGCATCTGGTTAGACAAAGTTAGATACAAAATGCTGGACATGCAACACCCTTGGGCCTAATCAGTCAGGTAATTCTTATGTTTATATATATAATACAACAAAGTAAATATTTATGACACACTTAAATAGGGTTAAATAAAATATACCCTGTTTTATTTTAAAACAACTCTCAGACATCAAGTGGAGTATTTATTAAGCAGTAACTTACCACAGTTTTCCTGAGGTCTTCGATATGCACAGGATTCACATTAAAACTATGGAAGCAAACAAAATTATATAATAAATTCCTTTTTCCTTTTTTCATATACAGGTAGAACAGAGTCACCTTCAATTCCCGCCGGCAGCCTTATCACCCACAAAATAACAACATATAATGTTACAATCAGGTTTGCCCCATCATTGTCACTGAAGAAGTCTTTATTCATTACAATCATACATGGGAATGGAAGGAAGGCAGAAGTGTGTTAGAGAGTTAAAATGCTAGTGAAAGTCACATGTAATCCAGGTGTTAACTTAAAGAGACCCAGTGGTGGGTGTACCATTTTGTGATCCCTCCTCCAAACTCTGTGACCCCACCTGCCACATTGCAAACTATTGTTGTTTGCAAGGCACTAAGTAATGACTTGCTACTGTTACATGGCAAATGTGTCCAAAACAAAACATCAATTATCCATGATTCGATCCTGCAAAAGAAAGCTGGCACAATTTATATTACTGAGATCTGTGCGGAAGAGCTAGGATTAAATTTCTCCTAACTGTGTCTGATAAGTAAGGGGACTGGTTTGCTACAATCTATAAAGATTTGATCTCCTGTCCCAGACTTGACAGTCAGGACTGAGGACTCTGTTAAGAGTACCATCCACCACATTGCCCAATAGCTTCCCTGCATGAGCTGGCAGAGGTGGCATGTATCTGGTTTGGTGTTGAGGACTCCCATGATGTAGACTCTGAAGGACTTCAACATCCTTGCCAAAGCTACCTTCACAGTCACCACGACAACCATGGGGCAGCCCCAGTGTGTTATCAATCCAACAGAATGACACAAGAAAATATGGTTATTTTCAAGCCTACTCTTGTGTCAGTGAAGAAGTAATCCTTCCCAGCCTTCTTCAAAGCACCATCCAACAGGGGTGTTCTGAAACTCATTCAACAAAATTTAATACACCCATGGGCTTGGCTGAAATGCCAATGATGGAAGAAGAAGAAGAAGAAGAAGAAGAAGAAGAAGAAGAAGAAGAAGAAGAAGAAGAAGAAGGGAAATGTTTTAGAAAGCTCTTCAGGACACCAATGAGGCAAGGCCTACCCTAAAGTGCAGGAGTCTGTCGTTGGAGGAGACAATTAACAAGCTGACCTTCATTCCTACTGTGTAGGAGGGGCAATCATGAAGGATGAAAAAATTATCCCCTCCACTTACCAGAAAAAAGGGATTTATGAATTATTATTATTATTATTATTATTATTATTATTAAATTGTACTGACTCCACCAAGGGTTGCATTTTTAAATTCAATGCATCATCAACTCTAAATTGCAAGAAATAGTTTCTTAAGAGCTAGCAAACAAGGAATAGCAGATAATTTTTCCTAGTTCTCTCAGAATGACTATGGGAAAATTCACAGGGACAACTCTAAATATAAAAGCCTTAAGATATGTTTTGGCACCTCAGATACACGCCTTGGTATAATTACCACTATCTCTGTATTGCTATTAATTGTGCAACTGCAATAATTATAAAATGACTTAAATGCCTTTTTGAATCTGAAAAATAAAAATGCCCTCGTGGAACATAATTTTCTAAAACAGTTTATACAAGAAACAAAAAGTTGTCTTTATGAAAGGCAAGATTTTAATTGTACATTTTTTAAAAAATAAGAGTTGCTAGGATCAAAAGATTATAAATTTAACTGTCACAGATTAAAAGCCCCTACAGTTTGGTATGTGTTAGTAGATCCATTTCAACATTTGCTGTTCAAAGATCTAAATGACATTCATTTGACTTTGTACTTAAAGATCTGAAAATCAAGATTATTTATTGCCAATTCTTAAAACCAATACATTTTAACCCTTTTGTAAGGAGGCTATTGGAACAGCCTTAGTATGACCAAGGTAGAATAGAGAGGGACTATTACTTCCCTTGATTGGGAACACTCTACTTCTTTTCAAGCAGTCTAGAATAGCATTAGTGGGGTTTTTTGGGGGGCGGGTTGTTTGTTTTGCAGCACACTGGGTACTCATGTTAAGCTTGTGGTTTACTAAGACCCCCTATATTCTTTTCACATGTACTACTGGTAATACAGGTATTCCCCATCTTATATTTTGCAGCTGGTTCTTCTTGCCTAAGTGTAGAACCTTTCATTTGTCCCAACTGAAATTCATTTTGTTAGTTTGGACCCAGTTCCCTAAACTGTTACGGTAATCCTGAATTCCAATTCTGTCTTCTACAGCATTAGCTAGTTTGGTGTCATCCCAGTTTGGTGTCACCTGCAAATTTGATGAGCATCCCCTCAATACCTTCATCCAAGTAAATAATAAAGACACTGAACAACAGTGGGCCCAGGAGAGAACCCTGCAGCCCTCCACTTGTCACTTTTTTCAGGGATGACAAGAAACCATTAGGGAGTACTCTTTGGGTTCGGTCAACCTGCTACAAATCCACCTAACAGTTACCTTGTCCAACCCACATTTTACCAGCTTCTTGGAAAGAATATAATGGGGGACTTTGTCAGAAGCCTTACTGAAATCAAGATATACTACATCCACAGCATTCCCCTGATCCACCAGGTTTGTAACTCTATCAAAAAAGAAAATGAGATTCGTCTGGCATGATTTGTTTTTGAGAAACCCATGCTGGGTCTTAGTAATCATAGCATCTTTTTCTAAGTGCTCACAGACTGATTGTTGAATTATCTGTTCTAGGACCTTTCCTGATACTGACGTGAAGCTGACTGGTTGGTAGTTACCTGGGTCCTCTTTTTCCCCCTTTCGAAGATGGGAACAACATTTCCCCACCTCCAGTTTCCAGGAATTCTCATCAGGCCCTGGAGATGTGAATTCATTTAAAGCAGCTAAGTGTTCCCTTAACACCTCTTTCCTTATCTTTGGGCTGCAGCTCCCTCCCTGCATCATTTATTCTGTTGGGCACTGCTTTCCTTCCGAGTGAAGACAGAGGCAAAATAGGCGTTCAGCAGTTCTGCCTTCTCCCTGTCACCCAATAGCATTTTTCCATCATCTCCATGCAAGGGACCTACTGCTTGCTTGTTCTTCCTCTTGCTTCAAACATTGTCAAAGAAACCTTTTTAATTATCTTAACCTCCCTTGCAAGCCTGAGTTCATTCAGAGATTTGGCCCTCCTTACCTTCTCCCTGCAGCTGTTGGCATCTCTTTATGATTTCTCCTTTCTTCCATTTCTTATATATGCACTGCTTACATCTCAGATCATCTGTAAGCTCCTTATGCAGCCACACCAGTTTCTTTAGGTGCCTCCCACTTTTCTTTCTTGCTGGAACTGTCTACCATTGTGCCTTCAATATTTCAGCCTTTTGAAAGTCCAGAGTGCATGTCCAACTTCACTCAGCTTTCCCTTGCCTGTGGTGTTTACCTCTCCTACAATTTTTACCCATATACTGTAAGGAACCCAGGGATTCAGAGTGCAGTGTCATCAATACGCAGATGACACCTTACTCTCACTCTCTCTCCATTCCATCTGAAACAGGGGAGACATATCCATTTCATCTGGCTTCTGGGTTCCAGTTCATTATGACTTCTGTTTGGCTATTTCGTAATTGAACTGCAAATTGGATAATTCTGTAATTTTACAGTTGTTGTTTTTTGTATTTTAAAACCAAGGGACACTTTGTAATTAACTTCACTCAAATATAACACACACACACACACACACACACACACACACACCATTTTTGTGCTTTTCCAGTACTTCTCTAGTATCTATCAATATTCAGGGTTATTAAACGGACACACACTCCCACACACAGAGAGAGTAAAAAACAGTTCATGAAAAGTGAAAAGAACCACACTTTGCAAATATGGAAAAACAGTAAGTCTCAAGACAGAAAACAATGGAACTATTAAGACTGTTTGAAACTTTACAAATACCTGTATTGTCAACAAGAGGCATTCCAAGTTAATGCCCAACACCCTAAAGCCATCAAGCCTGAACATTAAAGCTCATCAGCGTGCAGAAGAATGAAAATTCACAGATGAGGCAAATAATGTTGCAGCTGAGACTGACAGACAAGAAAGCAGAAAGATAAACATAACAGATGGAGATTACTTAAAATATTTAATTTTTTCCTTAAGCTGTGATTTTTTTAAAAAAAGAATGTTTGAAGTAGCAAAAGAACATTTCAAAACATAAGCTGTAAATATAGATTACAAGATACAAGTCAAACCTGCTTTGCTTCTATTTGCCATGATACAGCAAACTAAAAAAAATGTCAATCTGCTCAAAATCACTTTAAAATTTTGCTATTTTCATTCTTGTCTTCAGAATGTTAGTTTTGCCTGTAATTAGTTCCTTTTTCAGGAGTTAGAAGATCTTTTAATCAATTAGTGTCTTTCCTAGGGCAATTTATTAGGAAACAAAAGTTGAAAAACACAATAATCACTTTCTAATAAACACATTAACAATTTTTTTTAAAAAAAACTTATTGCATTATGAAGTATATGTACTTCATTAGTTCATGTTGGCAGATTTACAAAACGCTACTCTGGTAATCTAGGAATCATTTATATTACTGCAAACAGAGGTTTAAAAAAGGAAGAGCAATTTATGATTACCATTTTTTTAAAAAAAAATCACCAATAAATAAAAGCACAATTTTACTTCCAAAGGAAGAAGGGGCACCCCTTCTGACTAAACTAACATGCAGCATATATATATGTTACTTTGTGACACAATTATCTCAGTTTTCTGTTCCGCTGTTCCCAAAATGCAACAAACTCCAGATGTGATCTGGGGTTAATCAATCTCACTTTAACGGGTACATCCCTAGCAGTACCATCTTAAATCATTTATTTCATTGGGATTCATGCCACAGTAACTCTTTGACAGGACTATTGTGGGGCTGCCTTTGACAACTTCTTGGAAACAAAATACAGGTGCTAGATTACTGATTGGGACTGTTCCCAAGCACACTTCAACATGCTGGTTGTTACCCTTTGAAACGCTAAACAGCTTGCGGCCTGGCTATTTGACTCTCCCTCTAAATGACTGAAAATGTCCCAAGCATTAAACCATCAATTTTGGTCTTGGTCAGCAGCTGGATGGATGATCACCTGAGAACCATGTGAATGCCACTTCATGTTCCATGATGGAAGAAAAGCAGGATATAAATGAAAGTAAATCAAAAAATGTTATTTTGCCCCTACACACATAAGCCTGCCTAAACCCTCTCACATTCTTCTCTCGAGTCTCTCTGCTAGTTAAGGGACTTCTCAGTTGAGTCCCTCTTGGATATGGAATGACCTCTTCAGAGAAGCTTGCCTGGAATTAACTTTAATGTCTTATCAACACCAGCCCAAGACTTACCTGGGCATTCTGTTATGTTTTTATAGGAAGTTTTAGAACTGTTTTATAAGGTCACTAGGTTTTTGTGAATTTTAATTTTACAACCTGTACTAATGTCTGGGAAATAACTACCAAATGAACTTACTTTTCTAGAAATGCAGGAAAAGGTGGCAAGAGATATCAAAGGGACAAAGATTACAACTTCCACAAGAGGCTGAACTTACTGGAACAGAAGCCAAATACATGATAATGAAACATGTGAATAAAGCTACAGATCAGATAAAGTTGGAATATAGCTACTCCAGCAATAGCTTTTAAGCAACAAGTTTAATACAGAATATTTGAAAAATGTTACAGAAAGGTCATACTGACATCTGACTGTTCTGGAGTCAGATATTTAGAAAGCTTCCTTCCCCAACTTCAAAGGATTCACGGTAAAAGAAGAACTTTTCGGTAGAGAAGTGCTCATATATTTATTTTATTTTTATTTATTTGGGGACACAGCCTAGACACAAGAGAGAGATAGCTTAGATGGTTACATAAGCATGTTAGCCCTATTGCTGGGATGCAATCCAGTGGTCCCTGGAAGGGCATTCCAGGGCCAGAGGATAAATCAGATTTGCCACCTGATGTTGAAGACAGAGATTTAATGTTGGAAAGGCCAATCCAATGTCAGAGACTCCTTCACCAACACCTCAACCCAACCAACCTTCTACCTACTTGTATAAAAATAACAATAAAGATGATAATGATATAACTGTTCTCATTGGCCCAGTTATTATCAATTTATGCTGCCAAAGGCAGAGTGAAACAAAAATGAGTGACAATGACAAAACTGTCCAGTGTGCATGTTATTTACAGCCCCATATTTATGTAAGTGGGTACAGTCTTGGAGCCTAAGAACTTAATAGGAGTAGATAAAACTGCACTACTAAACTCACAACCATCATGAGTGCTAGTTGCAAGAAAGACCCAAAAAGGGAAATATTTAACAGGGAAAGCATGCAAAAATATATAGGGATGCAAAGGGATGCAAGGCCCGGTTCCAAGAATAAATAAACAATATTCTTATTTAGTTGCAAAGTAATATGGTTTAGTGCTCGGATTTTCACCATCATTTAAGGAAATATGACGTGTCAATTGGAAACTTGATTAAAACTGATGATTCCAAATGACATTTTTCTGATTTAAATTAATGATTTCATTTTAAGTTGATCTACCCTGTCTAGACATAAATCCCATTTATTTCAGTGAAACTATGAGTTCCACCTAGAACCCTCTTTCAGTTAGGGATGATCACTTTCAAGGTGGGTTGGGGCACAAACGTCTTTCAGTGCTGCCGCCATTTCAGCTGATACCCACTTCTAGGGGTGCCAACTTGAACAAACTATTGGGGGGGGGGAGGTCAGTCCTGCCCCGCATAATCGATCACAAGATTCAGTGCACACACACACCATTTGAACGGCAATGCCCATCAACTTTGGGGGGCCCTGGTCCTCTCAAATATTTTACTGGGAGGAGCCAAAGGGACCTTGGCCCCTATAAACTGGCTCCTATGCCCACTGCTAATGGGCCTTAAATGTTGCCTGGGGCAGGAAAAGGATCCGTTTCCTAAATCTTACAGGAAAGGGCTGCCCCTCTGGGATGCAACCTTTTATGTATCCCAAAACCAGCACAGAATAAAGGTATTACCTATTGTGGAGGACAAAGGGCAACAAATCTCTTCAGCCTAATCCCACCACCGACATTCAAGTGACGTCTACTCCAACTTTGGCACCTTTCGTTCTTGCTGCTATCTAAGAGTGAATTGTGCCCCATTCGAAGATAAATTACCTCATTAAAATACTATTTTCTTAATATGCCATTTTCATTTTTCTCTTTTCTCCCTAGTAATCATTGTAAAGGGCACTACATTTATTGCCAATTTTTAAATGAAATTTCGATCTTAAAAGGGTCCTCACGGGTGGGTGGGTGTTGCTATTACCCTGACTGTTATATTGCAGAAATGTAATCTAAGGAGTTTATATATAATAAAAAAATACTAATTAGACACCTCACTGAGACACCTATCTATTCACATTCTCAAATCTGGCATTTGATCATGCTAGTAACAACCTGTCCCCTTTAACTACTGGACTATTTGTTACCCTGTGTCCAGTGCCTAAGAGCTTGTTAATTACCCAAACTCTCTTTCTGTAGGTCTTGTTAATTACCCGTCTCCTGTCTCAAAGGACCTTGTTAATAACTTCCACAATCCCTCTAAAGAGGGCCTAACAACACATTAAAATTAAAGATGCTTTTCTTTTAGCACCTGTCAAGTGCTGTAAATTGAGAAATTTTCACATCAGTGTATTAGCCTACTGTAGCGTAGCTTTAAAAAACAAACATTTTTTTACGGAAATGTTGCACATAGTGCTAGCTATTTTATGGGAAGTTTGTATATTAAGTTGACATTTGTCCTCTGGTATGCTCACTGTACAAGACTGCCATGACAGAGAGCTGCAGATTAACCCCTTGAAAGCCAGTGCAATGAATGATTGCAATTAGACTAATGAAAGCAATCAAACAGCTTGCAAATGCAAACTTTCAAAGATGTGGATTGGGCTTAAAAACAACATAACCCTATTACCACCAAATGCTAATGGGTAGGAGCTACCAAAGCCTAACACAGACTTGTCATTAACATATAACCTTGTCACCATTGGTGACTAGAAATTGCCTGCTGCCCAAGGTAACTAGGCAATAATTCAGATGCTCTGATGTAGCACCCATTTTTAAAATTCTCAACCTGTGGGTCCCCAGATGTTGTTGAACTACAACTCCCATCACCCCTAGCTAGCAAGGCCAGAGCTCAGGGATGATGGGAGTTGTAGTCCAACAACATCTGGGGACCCACAGGTTGAGAACTGCTGCTAGCAGCATGGGGGGGTGGGTCAGCCCAACATTTTGTCAGTTGCAAATCCACGCAAGAAGATTTTTCCTAAAGCTTTTGCAAAGGCCTTTGCTCTTTGAATTCTTTTTGTGCCCCATCAAGACCTAGTAAATTATGACAGAGATTCAGTCAGCTGAATTGTTCATGTTCTCAAAATATAATCCATTTTTTAAAAATTTAGGCTCCAGGCAAATGCATTCTTTTTCACCCAGGGCCTTTGGATCTTAATTTTTGGCTTATCTTTCAGTAGAGTGAGCTTAGATCTGTTTTTAATGTGCATTTTATAAGTCACCTTTAATTTCATTTGGGGGGAACAACTAAATATAATAATTAATAATCATAGATAAAGTGTGGGATACTACTTCACTACTTTTAGTAGCATAAGAAAGACAGTATGCCCATTCAGATCTAATTCCAAAACCATGATTTAATGCTAGCCAGCTCACAAGCTTTGTGTGCATTACTACCTTCTCTGTTTTCACACACTGTAACAGCAAACTATAGTTTGCTGTGCAAAAGAAATCAGAGCACACATGTGTGAAAGTGAGAGTGACCAAAACATGGGTCAGCATTACATCTCTAGTCTGTTCCTCTAAAAAGGTCCACCCTACAAAGGAGGGAGCATTTCAAGGACAATAAGAGGTTTTTCTTGTTTAGATTTAATGGACTTAAATCCTGCATTTTTAGCCCTAAGCCTTTTTAAGTAGCTAAAAATGTTAAATAATTATAAAATACACCACAGTATAAAAAGCTACAATACAACCTTTTTTAAACTAAACAAAAACAAGCCAGTTATTCAATAAAACAGAACTCAAACAATGCAGCCAAAATGCTTTCCTGAATAAAGTTTGTGTAAATCTTCAAAATAAATAAATAACTGGGCAATGAATCATGCAGGCTAGCTTCTCTGGGTGGAAAGCACACTGCAAAATGTGCTTGATCTCTCAGGCACTGTCCAAAACTTTGATAATAAGGATACACTGAAGAGGGTCTCATTATTTTAAGGTGGATTTGGGGGCATATTCCTTCAGTGCTCAGAGAATTCTATCTAATCAGTTAAGGGTAGAATTGGCCTTTGCATGCTGAGCTATGCAAGGCTGTTATTGGGGGAAGGAAAGGATAGAGCTTCCTACACAACAGCTGAGTGAGCGCCTTTATAGCATAGCAGTAGCCATCTGGGGTTAAATATTACTTTTGAAATATACTTCTAATAAGGAAAAAAAATGATAACCTTGATGAATTTTTTTTTAGAAAGGTTTGCCCAAACTCTGTTTTCATTTTTATAAGACTGATTCCAAGACATCATATCTCAAATACAGTAAAGCTTACCGAGAAGATGGCAGCACTTTTGTTGGCTTGAAGCTTGTTGTAAAGGGATTAGTTGAATCAAAATCAAAACTGTCCTGATGATTTTCGCCGAGTGCACTAGGTGATTTCATATCAGCAGAAGCATCTGATCCTCCATTGCTAAGTCTGTCAGACCGCTTACTATCTTTTTTCCCAGTCACTCTTTCAAAGAGACTAACCTTCTCCTTTTTCTCTTTCTTAATGTCTTTTTTTATTTCAGCAGGTTTTGAAAACAGACCTACGTTTTGGTCCCATGACATGGGGCTTTCTTCGAATGGATTCTTCTGCCTTGGCAGGGTGGCAAACTTCTGAGGCAACGAAGCACTCACATTTTTAAAAGGGTCATTTTGTGCTCCAAAAGCTGAGTCGCTGTCATCAACTGTGCTGTCTGGCTGACTCACTTTAGTTGTATCTGCACTTAACGTCCGTCTGTGCGGAGATTTTACATTTCCTGCAAATCATTTTGTCATTAGTATACAAGAGACATCACATCGTATTTGGCAATACCCACACAAAAGCTTGCATAACTACGTTTAGAACAGGAAGGGGAACCTGTGGTCCTTTGGGTATTGCTGGACTACAACTCCCATCATCTCGGACCCGGCTGGCTGAGATTTCCCATCCTCATTTCTGAATGTACTCAATTGATCATTATTACAATAACCAGTCAAACTGTTGTTGATTTTTTTTAAAAGGGAGGGGCATGATCCACAGGGATGTCCAAGTCCCATTTGATTTAGTAAGAGATTTGGGCACATACTTGGTACTCCCAATGAAATAATGTTTCTATATTAAAGATTTAGTGTAACATTCTATATGTACTACAAAAGGTTCTGGAAGGCTGTCATGGTTTAAAAGAAAAGTGGATATGATTGAAGTTTTTTATAAAATGGCAAAACAATGAGTTATTATTATTAATTTCCTACGCTTCCTTCAAGGAACACAGGGAAATGTAGAGAAAATAGAAAACACAGGCTGGACCAAGATCTCTCTGAGGTATTGACGGTCGAGTGGGAATTTGAATCCAGGACTCCTCGATCCTGGCTTGACACTCTAACTTAGGGGTGGGAAACCTCTGGCCCAGCACTTCTCTCCATTTATTACTATTATTATTTATTAGACTTATGTACCACCCTTCATTAGGGCTGTGGGTGAAAGCACAGAGCCTAGGACTTGCCGATCACAAGGTCAGTGGTTCGAATCCTTGTGACGGGGGTGAGCTCCTGCTGCTCGGTCCCTGCTCCTGCCAACCTAGCAGTTCGAAAGCACATCAAAAGTGCAAGTAGGTAAATAGGTACCGCTCCAGGGGGAAGGTAAACGGCATTTCCGTGTGCTGCTCTGGTTCGCCAGAAGCGGCTTAGTCATGCTGGCCACATGACCCGGAAAAGCTGTCTGTGGACAAACGCTGGCTCCCTCGGCCAGTAAAGCGAGATGAGCGCCGCAACCCCAGAGTCAGCCACGACTGGACCTAATGGTCAGGGGTCCCTTTACCTTTTACCACCCTTCATTATAAGTTCTCAGGATGGTTCACAAGAGTAAGAATAAGGTAAGAGCACAAATAAACAGTTAAAACAAAGCAACCAAACCACACTCACCTCCCCCATCCCTGACATCATGTCAGGTGTGAAGAAGGTGGTGATGTGGCTAAAAAGGAACAATCAGGAGCTTAAAGTGAGCTCCCAATTTTTCCACTGAGGGAGCAAGACATCCCATCACGTTTAGCTGATGGGTGTGTGAAGTGTACCATGTTCCAATAGCACCAAGCAATTTGCACTGAAACCCCTGCTAAAAAAGAATGGGGAAGCTCCATTTTAGCAGTGGTTTCAACACAAAATGTTTGGTGCTACTAGAAGAGCAAAGCCTCTTGTGCTGTGGTTTCCCAAAAACACAAACAACCCATTGGATTATCAGTGCTTGGGAAGCTCTGCACAACAAACTTTGGGAGTGGATGGGGCAACTAATCACATGGCATCATAAAGACAGCTACACTGCCTGCCTAAAGATGGACTCTGGGGATGGGGGGGGGGTCAGATAAGGATCTGGTCCACCAGGCTAAAAAAAAAGATTCCTTACCCCTGTGTTCCAACCACTAAGCTACACTTGATATATTTACAATTAGCTTCAGTATCTACTTCATGTTTACTATGCTATGAAATTAGAGGACAATATTATAACAAGCTCCTAAGACTCAATGAACCACCAGATAAATGTGCAAAATGGGCCAAATGGTCAACACAGTATTATAATCTAGTGTTGCACTGGTCCAACAAGCTAACTTATATCACATCAACAGAATGTAACTTTAACTGGGAACAGACAACGTGAAAAATTAACAACTCTGATGTACAGAGCTCTAAAGTTTCTTGATTTCCCCAAGCTTTTCAATCACTAATCTTGTTGTATCTCTGCTGGTTCCTTTTAACGTTTTGATACTCCCAGTAATTATTGTTTTATTGTATTTGTATTTTGTTTTTATTGTATTGTTCTTTCATGGTATTTTATTTACCAGCCTGAACATTTTTAACTGAACGGCACGCTGCAGCTTGAGTGGGACCTGGAATTATTGATCTCTCAAGCTTTCCTAAAAACATCACCCACCTGTCAGCTGTTTCCAGAAACCTTTGCACCTAATATTTGGTGATAAGCTGCTTGAACAGGATTGCTGCTGGTACATTACGGATGTGCCCCATTTGCCTTTACCTTACAGTGTAGTCAATATACACTGCTCTGTGAGCTTTTGCAACCACACATTTCTATAAAGTAAGAGCGAAAAGATAACAGGCTGGAAGCAACGAGCAAGAGTCTGTCGAAGTTTCTTACATCAAACAGCATCAACAATTTTCACTTACCACTTTCATCCGCAGAACCAACAGACTCAAGCTGACGTCTGAAGAGGTATGCATTGGCAACTGTGCCCGATTTAATTTTTTCCGAAGTCACCTGGGGCCCAGTTAAATCGGACATTGAATGAGCTGAAGATAGTCGCTGAGGTCCCAACAGGAAAGGCTTTTTTGGTTTAGATTTTAACTGTATTTCACCAAGGGAAGTTACAGTGTTAGTTTCTGGCATGTGACTGCTTGGAATGATTGCAGAGGATGTATCCAAAAATGTTCCATCAGTCTTTCGACCCTTCATTTTGTCCTTTAGTTTAGCAAATGGAGATTTAGTTTTATCCTTCATTGAAAGGTCAAACATACTTGCTGTCATATTGTTCCTCATAAACTGAATATTGACCTTTATTTCTCCTCTGTCTTTAGTTCTCTTTCCTTGTTTGGACTCCAGGCTAAACCACCTTCAAGATAAGATAACAACACACTGTAAGTTGTGTAACATTGTATAAAAAAAATATTTTATTTAAACTGCTGCTTTTTTATTTCCCTTTAATCCTATCAGATAAATCATGTAATTGTTAAGAACAAATAATCCAAGAAATAAAAATTGCCTGCAACCAGAGATTTGGGCTGGTGTTTCAAATATATGTATTTCATAATAAGAAAAGCTGCCTTAAATCAGGGCAGATCACCTGTCTACCTAGCCCAGTAAGGTCAATGCTGCCTGGCAGCAATTTGGGGGGGAGTTCATCGCATTACCCTATATAGATATGGGTATATGCTCTATAAAGAGCATTTGCATTACCTACTACTTGATCTTTTTTTAACTGGAGATGCCAGGGACTGAAACCAGGACCTTCTGCATGAAAAACATGAGATCTACCATTCAGCCTCCTGCAAAATTCAGTTAAAATGATGCCCATGTAGACGAATACAGAAAACAAAAATTCACTTGTCCAGAGCCATGTATTTGGAAAGCTACAAAAAAGAATTAAGACAACTTCTTTTTTAAAACAAACAACCAAATAAACTACCGTATGATACAATTTGATGAAATGTTACTTTATGAACAATTTTTTTTTCCAAATAAACACTGCAGTTGTAAAAGGCCCATAAGAAAATAACTTAATTTGTAATGTGAAAATCAAAATGATTAAGACTAATGTATTTTCCATTATGCTTTCTTCAATGCAACACATAAATGATAGTATCAATGTTCAATTTAGGAAATGATCCTTAAACCAGCCAAAGGCCAGCTGAGGGACTGTAGGAAGTGATGTCAAGTGCTGCTTTGCTAATGGAGAGGGAAGTCTTGCAGCGCTGGAGTCCCGCTCCCCACGCACCCATGGAAAGCTCAGCAGGCGCAGATGTTCTGCTGCACCAAATGCCAAAACTGGGCTTGTCAGGAGTGGGCAAGGATCCACCGGATCCTTTGTGCATAGTTCTTCCCCTGACATCCTCCCAAAGAGAAGCCTTCAAACAGACCAGCCCGAGAGATGGAACAGTATATTCCCACCTGCTGACTACAGTTTGCGGGGTGGGGAGAGAGAAAAAAAACGGGGCAAAAAAGATAATGAAAATCATCCTGCACCTCCATCCCTGCTGGAGTCAATTGGCAGGGCTCAGGAAGTAGCGGTGGCTCTGCCACAGAATCTCACCACAAAGATTGCCAAATTTGTTCTGCCTGATGTTTACAGAGATTTAAGAGTTTCCCCAAATACAGAGATTAGAAAATATATCAAAATGCCCTCAAAAGTACAGTAGTTCAACGCTTTTGTTTACTCCTGCTGTGATACTGATCCAAACCAAATACAAAATGCTTTCCAGTGAGAAATGCCAACCGGGTATAATATGAACCAGGCTGTGCCACTTACTATTCAAATGAGATATCTTATCTCTTAGATTGCTGTAATAATAATAATAATAATAATAATAATAATAATAATAATAAATTCCATTCTTTCTGGGAACGGACTGAATGAGGCATCACCCTGATCACCTAACAAAAGTGGTACAGCCTTATTCATTCCTTAACTCTCTTGACAAGAAGAATGAGAAGAATGAGTTCGCCCAAGCCCTGCAGCAGGTTACGATTTCTCCCCAGGAAGTAACTAGCAAATAGGCCTTACGCCAGCACATATTGCCATGCTCAACTTCTAACCATGAAAGATATGAATAGCTCGGGTGTTCTTGGTATAACAAAACTAGGACTGTAAATAAAGCCTTGAAGACCACCACCTGCTCCAAATCTCAACTAGCCGTTCCAATAACCCCTTATTCCTTTTCTTTAAAAAGCTAATGATTTTTCACACTCATGAAAGGGAGAGCCGTTCTGGAATAAAAATATTTATGTGCTAAGCTATATTAGCTATTGTTTTAGTTTCTTATATCTTGTGCCAGAATGAAGATATTAAAATATACGACAGGGGCCCTCTCATAACACCACTGCTTCAGGAAACTTCGCTGCCTTTATTTTTAAAGGCATATGTTTGTTTTAAGGTGCAACCACCAGCAACTTAAAAAGTGTTACGTGCAGCAGGCTATTAGTTTGTGGCTTAATACGTGGTTAAAGTCACTATGGGCTGGCATACACACTTCTCTCTGTTAAAAGAAAGAAAGCCCTGCATGTTGCATGTGCTGAAGCTTTCCTAGAAATTCTAGATCAGCTGGTAGCCTTCATTTTTCTTACAAGAAAAAACACACATGGGGGAATTGCTGACAAGGTTCAGCATTGTGCAGAATATTAAATATCTTTTTTTTGTAATACTCTAGTGACTCTGAAGTCTGTCTCTTGGAGAACCATATGTACAGCTGTGTTGGAAGGAGGAAGCTATTAAATATATTAAAAACTAGAAATATTACCAATAAAGACACTTCATCAAATATGTGGATCTCATTTACCCACAAACTAAGCAATGTTCAGGTTACATCAACTTTAAAAAGTCACTCTGGATATAAGGCTCTGGGTCTGCTAAATGCATCTGAAAGCAAAAAACCACTATTTAATAAAATTTGTATTTATCATCAGTTTTGAAAGAAATCAAAATTATATTGTTAGGTATCAACTTTTGTTTTAAAACTATGGGGTCACAGCTGTGTGTCCTTAATTTTAATTTAAATAACTGAAATTTTACTCTGTATTTCCATAATTGTGTTTTTTTCCAGGCAACACATACACAATTCAGCCATATACCATTTGAAAAAGCAATAGGCTACCTGCCTCCCAGTTGTGCTGGCAAGTTTCTAAACACCACAGTGATAACATTTCCCTAATTTTTCCACTCCTGAACAAAGAGCATCTTCCATCTCTGCAGTGCAGTCCTGATAGTAATGACACACTATTATGTTGTCCTATCTCACAGTTCCGAAATCACCACGTACAGAATATTCAATTTCAGTAGTACCTTACTGAAGCTATAGTTCTTGTAAACAACAATATGCAGACTAAAAATGGATATGTATACAGTCATATCTCGGGTTACGAATGCTGCGGGTTGCAGACCGCGCTGAACCCGGAAGTACCGGAACAGGTTACTTCCGGGTTTCGGCACTCATGCATGCGCAGAAGTGCAAAATGACATCATGTGCATGCGCAGAAGCACCAAATCACGTCGCGCGCGTGTGCAGACACGGTGCTGCAGGTTTGAACATGCCTCCAACAAAGATTACATTAGCAACCCGAGGTATAACTGTATAGGTAGATTTCTGGGCCAACTCATAGCCCTTTCCATGTTACAAAAGTCAGAACCGGACATTCCAAATAGCAGTTAAAAACAACATGATCTCGCCCCTATTTTCAATGCTACAGCAAGAGTATTCCAGATCTTGAGTTAGTAATGCTAAAGCCCATATGCTGAAGTCCCTAAAATATGCATAGTCATGGGTCAAGACTGCACTGCCATACACACTCCAGAGCCCAGGATTTCACATTTGCATAGGAAGCTTACTCAAGCAGAGCCTCAAACCTATAGATTAGAACTGTGCAAACTGTACACCACAATATCAAGCAATATGCATTGAAGTTTCGGTCAACAGACACTGGCTTCTCTGTGTACATGTGTACGCATGTGCACATGGCTTCTATGCGTTCTGTGTGTACAGTGGTAGCCTGCAAGACGAATGCCTCGCAAGACGAAAAACCCGCTAGACGAAAGGGTTTTCCGTTTTTCGATGCGCTTCGCAAGACGATTTTCCCTATGGGCTTGCGATTTTTTTCGCTCCCCCCCTTTTTCTAAGCCACTAATAGCCTTTTAGCCGCTAAGCCTTTAATAGCCGCTAAGCCGCTAATAGGGTTGCTTCGCAAGACGAAAAAACCGCTAGACGAAGAGACTCGCGGAACGGATTATTTTCGTCTTGCGAGGCACCACTGTACATCTTACACAAATGTAAAAGCCAATATGCAAGAATCAGAAGTTTGTGGCTAATATTTTGTTCCAATACAACCAACAGGAGACATAGCCTTACTGAAAAGAGAACAGACTGCTTTTTCATTCTTTCCCCCCTCTATCTCTTTTCGTCTATTTTGCATGCTATGTGCGCTTCAGCACTAGAAAGTGGAACTTCTTGGATGGGCACTGTATGAGAAGGTGACAAGTAGCCTTGCTGGATTTTCAATATGCGTGAAATTGTGGGGGGGGGGAGGACGGTTGGGGGAAATTTATTTTTCGATCCATAAGATGCACCTTTCCCCCCTTAAAATCTAAGGGGAAATGTCTGTGCGTCTTATGGAGTGAATGTGTGGTCCCTGGGGCTGGGGGGGGGGACCGGGCTTCCCCTGCCAGCCCCGAACTGCTCTTTGGGGCTGGCGGTGGGGGAAAGCCAAGCTTCCCCTGCCAGCCCCGACAAGCTCCTGAGCAGCTCTGGGGTAGCCCGCGAAGCCTCCGCAGGGCAGCGGGGAGTCTTCATCCCACTGCCCTGGGGAGGCTTCGCGCGGCTATCCCTGGCTTTTGCAGGAGGTGGGAGAAGGGACAGAGCGAGGCTCTCTCACTTCCCCCACCTCCCACAAAAGCCCCCAAGAGCCGCATATTTATTTTCTTGAATTCCCCCCCCCAAAAAAAGTAGGTGCGCCTTACGGTCGGGTGCGTCCTATAGAGCGAAAAATACGGTACATGTATGATTGTAGTACCATGGGGAGTATTCAGTCACCAAGAGCAAAGAATAATTTGAAAACACTTTGTTAAAGGTATTTCTTAATGGCACACTCATTAAGGCAAGAAGTGGGAGAACAGCTTGTGAATGGTTTCAAATGATGGCCCAGATACTAGCCAAGAGATACTCCTAATACTGATGCAATCGTGGAACAAACGGAACTCCAAACTGCAATGTGGGGAGTACAGCGGTAGGCAGAGGCGCATCACCTTTCGCCAACAACAAAAGCAATTTCTCTTTAATAAATGCACTTATTGGTGTAAAAGAATAAAAGGCAGGCAGATGCTTCCGCAACTACAAATAACAATTTCACATTTATTTTGTAATAAACACTTAACTGAAACAGCACTATGACTGCTGCAGTAAGTGTGTACGCTTAGGCATAAATCTTAAATTCACATAGGATAATAGAATTGTAGATAGGAAGGCATCATAAGGGTCACCTAGTCTAACCCGGCAAATGCAGGAATCTCAACTAAAGCCTACATGACAGATGGCCATCCAACCTCTGCTTAAAAGCCTCCAATGAAGGAGAGAGTCCATCACCTCCAGAGGGAGGGTATCCAACGTGAGGACATGGAATCAATTTTGTAGCTCCAGAGACACAGCATGGCCCCTGACGGTCCTGCTCTCTTGTGTCACGTTCCTCCAGGGGTTCATCTCCTGAATCACTTTCCCTCCTGCCACTAGATAGCACTGCCTCAGAGTAAGTTCCATTGAACTCAGTGGAATCTACTTTCAAATGCAAGTGCAAAGGAATGCACTACAGAAGTTGCAAGATTGGAATTTACAGTCTCTGACACTGAAGAAGTTCACATACAACAACAATTTATTATTTAAATCCCACCCATCTGGCTGTGTTTCCCCATCCACTCTGGGCGGCTCCCAACAAATTAAAAACAGAATAAAATATCAAACATTAAAAACTTCCCTAAACAGGGCTGCTACAAGACAAGCAGATTAAAAATGCAAATTACAAATATACAGGCAATTCCTGATTTAGGCGCATCCTATATGTGTGCAATCGTGCACATGCGCACAGTCTGGAAGTTTTTAGATATTTCTAGCCCACCTTTCCTCCAAGAAGCTCAAGTGTCAAGGTGGGAGTCAGGAACCAGTCAGCAATAACTCACAAGGTGTCAATGAAGTTAATTTTTTACTCAAGGAAACAAAACAGCTCAGTCCTATTGAGCACAGCAACTCTTTCCAGCAGGTCTTGCCCCAATGGGGGAATTGCAACTGAAGGTCCACAGCTCCCTAAGTTTCCTCCTCTCCCAGGTCCTTCCTAAGCAATCTGAAACACCAATGTCTAGTCTGTCTCTGCTCCACCCTCTTCATACCTTTGTAGGTTCTGAGAGACCAGCAGGGAGGGGACCTGATCACAGTCAAGCTTTACTTGTCAGTTTATTTCAGCGTGTTTATAAAATGTAGGGTTGACATATTTCAAAAAGTGAAAATCCAGGCACAAAAGTTGTTGAGTATTGTTGGCAGAGTTGTAGAACTTTTTTGGTGGGGGCAAGATTTCAAAAGAAGAAGAAGCTTTTAAGCTGTTTTTAAGGAAATTCGACAAAATCTACACTTCTGACATGGGTTGCCATATATATGTTCGGATACTGATTCTGCTGGCCAAATCCCAGCAATGTCCAGGAAATTCTGGATGTTTGGCAACCCTAATACAATGGATGTGGTGATGTTGCAATCAGTGAATCACTTCCCTGTAATGAATTCATTTGCATTTCAGAAACATTTCAGTTTGACTGACTACAAATGACATTTCATTATTTCTTCATCATGTCATTCCATTAGTCTTCCATTAACCATTTTTAGCAGTGATCTGTGAATAAGAAACTATTTAATGATCATTTTACCTTATTTTATCTTAGACTTTGAAGTGGTGGACATTTCAACCAGACATTCTATTTTGACATGGTGTCAAAATTTGAATAGTAAACATTATGAAACCTTTATGGTTCTCTTGCAATGCTTAAGGCCCAGAACTCTATCCTACAACGAACAGCATTGCAGTTAAGAGTCTTAGACAGAATTCACTGCCTGTTAAATAATAAATTATATATATAGGCTGTTTTGTAACATGTAACACATGAATGAGGGAGATGTTAAACATATAACAGCATTATGGCGACAGATATCTATTAGCAACAGTTAGGTGCAAAAAAAACCAACCCTGAAATAGTTAAGGCTTCCAAGTTTGGAATCAAGGGTTAACTAGGAAAACTAGTATCTTAAGAAGTGTGCATGCACACGAAAGCTCATACCAATAACAAACTTAGTTGGTCTCTAAGGTGCTACTGGAAGGATTTTTAAAATTTTGTTTCGACTACAGCAGACCAACACAGCTACCTAAATGTAACTAGGAAAACTAGTTATTCTGAGATGTTATACCATCCCAATAAACCAAAAGCTGTATGACCGACACAAGTAGATACCACATGCTCATATTGTGTCTGCCATTATAAATTACAATACCAAAGGCTTCATTGGGATCAAATTGATTATTGTCCTAAGGGATAATGTAAAAGAACACAGTACTGTACTGAAGCATGTAACGGTTCAGACATTCATGTGTTATGGAATAACAGAAGAACAACCAAACTTATGAGTGAAAGAACAGAAGACAGAGTGAACCTACAAAACAGAGTAGGCCAAAATGGTGTGCAGTATTTTAAAAATAAACCATTTCTTTCAAATGGCTATTCCCAAAATAGCAAACTTCATAGTATGGAGGTATACCAGTGGGATTTTCTTTCTTCTGCATTTCAGATTAGCATTTTGGTTTCATCCAAAGTGAAACTCCTGCACAGCTTGTTCTGCAACATCCAAATACTTTCTGTTGACAGGCTAGCAATCCTCAGCCCCCAATTGACTGATGAGACCCTACCTATCATTTGGGAATAATTACTATGTATGACCACACATCAGTAATGAAGTGTGCATCAAAATCCTGAAAGGCTAGGTGCCCCCAGGTAAGCACAAAATGATAATACATTTATACACCTATTAATACTGCTCTGCATATAAACTGGTTTTTGGAGCATATGGGTAAACCTTAAAGCAAAAAAAGTTCCCAGCATATATAAGAAAATAACACTTACTCAGTTTTCCTTCTGAGCTTGTCCTCAAAGATATCATTCAGATTTATTGCCACTTGTCCCAGAAACTTATCTAGCCCAACAAGTGACCTGTGCATCACTATCAGGCAGAGGACGTATTTCTCAGGATTCCCTTCCATCAGCAATCCGGGCAACTCAAAGGAGGCCTCTTCTTTCCATACAGGATCCAGGGTCTTCTCTGCCACGGAAGTGGAGTATTTCTCCTTTCCCAACTGTATGATTGTGTATGTATCATTAGTGCCACTTTTGCCCTTCGGCTTCAGGTCTCTGGCCTGCAGGACTGTGACCTGCACGTGAGTTGGGAACCACTTCTGGGCTTGCTCAGCCAACATACTGTCGGCCGGGGTGGGGGGTCTTCAGCAGCAACAGCGACACAGGTAACCTGTTCTACAGGCAGGTACACTTAATACTAAGGCAGCTCACTTTAGGCTGACAGACCTTTGAGGACATACAGGCACAAGGGTCTCAACTGCTCCTTGGTCAGCTTCCTAACAAGTGGGGCAAGATTCTAGCTTCGATTATGTCCTCAGTATTCATTTGCACTGTTTCCCTCCCCCTCTCTTTCTAGCATCAGCCCTGTCTCCCTGCACTTGTGTTCAGGGCGCAGCTTATATCTTAAGCCCCCTGCTCTGACTCTGGCCAGCGGGATTTCCACCTGCTACCCCCTTTGCTTTTTAAAAAGTGGCGGGGTGGAGCAGAGGGCAGAAAGCAGCACTGCAGGATTTAAAGGAGCAGGGAGAAAGTCCCCAAGGGAAACTTCCCTCTCCCTCCCTCCCTCCCTAGCAAGCACCCTCTGCGCTTCCCCCACAGCCTCGGGGACGAACCCAGCGCCCTAGGAGTGGGGCGGGGAAACCCCAAGAGAGCGGCATTTAAAAACAACCATTGGGAGGTGGGCAAAGGGGGCTCCTGCTGAGTGAAACCTGCGCCCGCCCGGGCGAGGCCTGTCTCGCTGCTTCCCCTTGCGGTTCTCTAATGCCTCCCCCCCCTCCCCACTGAAGGGGAGCCTAGCCGGGGCAGAGGGAGAGGCAAAGCCGCCGCTTCCCGCCCACGGAGGCGTCGCTTGGGGCGAAGCAGCGGCGCGTCCTACCGCGGGAGCGAGAGGGAGAGACGCCCCGCCGGCCCCTCAGCGCTGCCCGGCCGCCTCCCCTGGGCAGAGGCTGCGAGGCCGCCGGGCCGAAGCCGCCACTTCCGCCTTCCCCATTGTTGCCTTGAGCCGGCGCCGCTGAGTGGGAGAGGACGAGCAGCAGCAGCAGCAGCAGCGCCGCCTCTTTCCCTGGGCGGTCAGAGGGCGGAGGGCAGGGTTCACGCCGCCGCCGCCGCGCCTCTCCTCGCTACTCCCGCTTTGCCCTGCCCAGATCGCAGCTGCCTCCGCGCGCGGGGGTGGGGGTGCTTTTATTTATTTATTCTCTCCCCCCCCAAAAAATATCCTTTTTCAAGGCATACAGAGGAAGAAGGATGGGGCTCCCCGGCAAGCGGAGCATTCCCCGCAAGGCACCGGTGCGCGCAGCTGAGCACGCTTTGTAGGACATCTCTCTCTCTCCCTCTCTCTGCGCGCGTCTGGTGTGGCGTTTAAAGTCAGCGCTCCCCCCAGGACTGAGAGATCGGTCTTGCCTCGCTATGTACCCAGATTGGGGTCTTTTTCTTAACACCGCAGTCGGACGGTGGGGCAGACGCGGGAAGCCTCCCGATGGGTGCCTAGTCCTTTCGATCCGATCCGTTTTGTACTTATATGCCGCTATCCCGCGACCAGCTGTGTGCGCAAAGCGGCTTACTACACAGCAGACATCCCAGAACAGCAAAACGGAGAACGTTGGAAATAACAGATGTACAAAAGGCAGAACATGTCGGTAGTTTCGAAATAACTTGAAATTTAGCAAGCGCAGAATGGTAATAGTGCTAGCACAGGACTCACACAATTTTGAGCTTTGATTCGCACAAAATCAACCCTGGTAGTTGACGTCAATGGGTGATAGTTAAAGCTAGTCATGATGGGAATAGGTCCACTGAAACTAATGGTCTTAAAAGACCATTGATTTCTACTGGTCTACATTGTGTGTGAACAGATTTGTTTTAACACTCATTATTCAGTATGTTAAAACCATGACCTCTTTTCTGCCACAATAGAGCTGGGCGGTATTCTGCTAAATTTTACTTGGAGTGGTTCCACTGAAATTAACATAACGTAAGTTAGATCCTTTAATTTCAGTGCATCTGCCCTGAGTAAAACTTAGTTCATTATCTCCTTCAGTGCCAAAGAAACTCTTATTCAATTGCCCATAGATTAAAAATTACATTTTTATGGGTCATGATGGCCTGAGAAACTACAGTGAAAATAAGAGCCAAACCTGAACTGAAAGGTGGAAAAACTCCAAAGAGGAATCGTAGGGAATGGGCACGATTGATGTGCAGTGACTATAGTGGAATGACCACAAGAACAATGAAGTAAAAGATCCCCCAAAGTAGGAAAACAGCACAAAGCAGAACAATGATTTTCAGCATACAGGGAAAAAGTGGAATTAATGTACTGGACGCCGGTGGCGCTGTGGGTTAAACCACAGAGCCTAGGACTTGCCAATCAGAAGGTCAGCAGTTCGAATCCCCGCGACGGGGTGAGCTCCTGTTGCTCGGTCCCTGCTCCTGCCCACCTAGCAGTTCGAAAGCACGTCAAAGTGCAAGTAGATAAATAGGTACCGCTCCGGTGGGAAGGTAAACGGCGTTTCCGTGTGCTGCTCTGGTTCACCAGAAGCAGCTTAGTCATGCTGGCCACATGACCCGGAAGATGTGCGCCGGCTCCCTTGGCCAATAAAGCGAGATGAGCGCCGCAACCTCAGAGTCGGTCACAACTGGACCTAATGGTCAGGGGTCCCTTTACCTTTACCTTACTGTTCTGAAGCAGAATTATAGTGCCACAATAATTCCACAAATGGAGTAACAGCAATTAAGAATGGTAAATTCAGAGAAAAACTAGTTTTAGTATATTATAATTCCCCAAAATATTCAAGTCCACGAGTTTTAATGATAGTAGCATTTGTACCATATTATTGTTGCTGCATACTCCTTTCTCTCTGCCTTGCTCAGCACCTGAAAAAAGGAGATTCAAGCTGAGCTCCAAAACTTTGACTGATTGGTACTGTGTATTACAGGGATTATTCTGGGATAAAAGTGCTGCTAGGAGTGAGATGTTGGTGGCATAATCTTAACTTCTTAACGTTAGGCACAGAAACGGAATTACATTTTCTGGAACAGTATGACCATGGAATGGCAGTCCATAACACAGAATAGAATAATAAAGCCTGCTAATGCGTGTCAGGGTATAGAGAGGCTGGTATGACATTGTACAGAAAACAGGAATGTCACGTGACTAAATCATAGTTGACTAATCTTACCTATTTCATTTAAATGTATTATTGAATTAAAACTGTGTGTATCTGTGTAAAAGCAAAAGCTGTTTTTATTTAATGTATGTGATGTCACAGCAGGCACCATTGTTGGAGAAGTAGTTCTGCTGTGTTAAAGTGAAGGCATAATATTTAAAATTTTGCATTTCTTTTCAAGGTTGATCTTTCTTCAGCTTTGGGTTCCCAGGTGTCAGGCTCCCTCCCCTATCATCCCAGCCAGCCTCGCCAATTATCAGGCATGATCAGGACTCAGTGCTGAACAACACTCATCTAGTGAATGCAAGGAACAAAATAATACATCAGTGTTTGTCTCCCCTTTACAGCCTCTCAGATCTTTTTCAGCAGCCTAGTGTGTCCAAGACCATACCTTGTCATTGCCTCTTAAAGCAATAATGTTATTCCTTAAAGCTATTCCATAAAATAGCTTTTTAATAGTAAAACCATAGACTCACTGTACCTCAGACCAAACAGTAGAAGTGGCACTTTAAATCATACACAACTTGGTATGTGTGCAATTCATTAATACAGGTCGCCAAACACTTTTGTGGCATATGTGCCTTTCATTGCAATAGGATTACACAAAAATAAGGACAATTCCAGCTGAAACAAATTGATCTTGCTTGCCCAACACTGGAGCTGGATGGATTTAATCCTTGAAAATCAAGGTAGTGTTACTATTTTGATACTTCAAAATGAAAATGCAAGAATTTGACTATATTTTTTCTCAATCAGCAAAACAGCATTAATGTAGTAAACTACCTTTACCCATCCTAAAATGAAGATGAAAAAATAGCCCTGTCTTTAAAAGAACTATCGTGCTGTCAATTAATCAAATTGACAGCATACTAATATGCAAGTATTCCAATCCTATACCCACTTCTTATGAATAAGGAGGACTTCTAAGACCACACAAGACTTATTTTTTCTTACTGTTTACTTTATTCTTCATGTTGATAATTTTTGCCTGAAGATAAGCTACATAAAGCTCAAACCAATTGCTCTGTTTTTCTGTTTCCATCAACAAATGATCTGTTCAATGAGGCCTTATCCATTGGTAATTGATTAATTAATTGTATGTCATGTGTCTACAACTGAGATGTAAAATCAACATTAACTAGAATTTACATCCAACAAGAAAACGATTCTCTTTATCTTCCTGTTCCACTTTCACATTCACAAGCAATACATCCCAGATTAAAATGTGTTCTTGGCATCCAGTTAAGGAAATTATCTAATGAATGAAAAATAATAATACATATTTCCTCTATGGAGAAAACCTAGAATAAGGAAATACCCACCAAAATAATTTGACATGTATGAATTAGTGGGTAAATACTTTCATCAGTAATTGTTATCTACACACATGGGAATAAAGACACAAAGTATGATTCTGCACATATATACACCCTATGTGAAATTAAATTGGTTTGAAAGCAGCCTCACTCAGCTCAAAGATCATGATTTTTCAGGATTTTTTCCCTCCATGTCTGGAGCTCATTATGATTTTCAAAGGGGCTCCAGTTTGTAGGAGAGGGCAATTCCTGGCACATCAACTCCAAGACTTGATTCAGCTGCCATTGAAGCTTCTGCACTGGAGATATCCAATAACTTCAGCGTGAGTGGGTTTCCCCTGCCCCCAATATGGGCACAATCAAAAGACATTCAAGCCATCTGTTAATCTCTCTAAACCAGCAATGGTTCAATTTACTTAGCAATGTGTGTGTGTGTGTGTGTGTGTGTGTGTGTGTGTGTTTGTGTATGTGTGTCTCCAGAGCACAAACATATGCATTTACATATCTCCATACGAACTTAGATTATTTAGGCATACAGGAGTATCTTCATACAGTATTAACAAGACTACTATTTCTGCAATCCTGAAATCACTTCATGTGGGAAAAATCCATTGACTTCTATAAAACTAGCCCTATGTTTATGTTTTGGGGGTTGCTTGTTTTCTGCATTGGACTTGAAAATGTATGCAAGGACAACCACAAGCACATCTGCCTTAGCAATGTTCCTGGGCACAATTTGGTGAAGTAATGGGATTTACTCATTCCAACTGTGTGCCAATCCATAGCATTAGCCTGCAGAATTGTTAAGTGACAAGCTGGTGACAACAAACAACCTTAAGCAACAGGATGAAGGCTCAAGGATTTAAGATCCTTGCAAGGGTTCCCTTCTTCACAATTTACCAACCATGAGCCCTTTGAAAGGTACGGTTATAGATCAAATGATGAATCTTTAGATACAACTGAACTAGATTACCATGAATGGATTCAGTTTTACAGTTTTAGGGGTGTTATGTACTGAGTTGAATAGGATCCAAAAGGCAGCAGTCTGATTGGTCCTAGAACAATAGGATTCAGAATGCAGCAGTCTGATTGGTCCACAGGATCCACCCAATCCAGCTCCAAGTGGAAGGGAATCCGCAACCTGATTGGCCTACAGGAGAATCCTGGAATTAGCCAATCACATGGGGCCCATTATGTAAATAATATATATAAGGCAGACATTCCGTTCCTTCTCACCACTATGAGCTGAATAAAGAGCATGAAATCCACTCTTGACTCCGGGTATATTTCAAGGATGTTTATGAGGACCACTATATTCATTCACTAAGTAGCCCTGCCTCTCTAGTACAACCTAACCAGTTGAATCCAGCAGAGCGGCCTCAGCTGAGCTACTAATTTACCCAGTGGCCCTTCAGTAATTACTATTCAGTGACTGGCCTTAATAGTACAACAGCTTTCTTTCATTTACAGCTTTGTTTAAGCAGAGTTTGGTCCAGCAGCAACTGTTCAGATAAATCACACAGTATTGGAAACTGCTGCATGGCTTCTGAGCCATGTGCTATTCCAGCTCCTCCCAGGCAT